ACGTCTTCAAGCAACTTAAAGAAGTCCAGACGCTTTTCTTTGCAAGCTCCTTTGACTACGATGACCTGGATGACTGAGAACCTTCACAGACACTTTTGCTTTCCTCTCTAACAGGTAAGATATTTTTCCTGTTTTAGTACGTTTACTTGTCTTCACGTAATCTTGTAATCTGCTCAGATAAAAAAAACTGTGAGGACAGCTAAACCAGTCAGTCAGCAGTCTTGGGTGCAACACATTCCAAAGTAACGTGTTACTGTAATCAGATTGTATTTTTCACTAAAGCAATAATATATTTTACTGTTCTAAATTTAGTAATAACATATATAGTTACAATGTTGTTACTAAGGTTTTTAAATTGTTTGAAAACTAAAATTTTAAAAAATTAAGCAAAACGTTTTTGGGTTTTTTCCCCACCATAGTTGCACTGTAACCAGCTGATGCCAGGAGGAAAGGGGTGGAACAACCTTAATCCTCATGAAATTTTCATGTGGATATCATTTCTGAAAACGTGTTTGGGCTTATCAGTAAATTCACACGTACTCCAAATATCATGATCTAAAGTTAAAATTTAACCATGTATAACCAAATTGGAGCATAAAAGCATCACATCATAGCTTCAACAGCACAACTCCCATTTAATGTATACGATGCAGTGTAACATAAACAAGCATTGGTGTCCTGGATGCTCTTTTTATTTTCTGATAACTCACTGATCAAGTGTGAGACAAGTAACTATTCAAGAAAAGCATGAGTGGTCATCATTTTATTGTTTGATATTTGGGTAATTTTCTAGCTATGATTGGGACAGAATGGTTTTCTGATAAAGTAAGACTTTAACATTCCTGAATGTAGTTTACGGCTGGAAAATGAAGAAATGGCATCAGCCTTTTTTTCCAGCCTCAGTTTTGTATGATAAGACAATTAAACATATCACATTCATAAAGAAACTTTCTACTTTCTCTGAATGATTTCACATATCCTCGTTGGGACTTTTTAAGGTTAAAGTAAAAGTAAGGTAAAAGTTACTGACTTGGAAAGTGTGTGGACAAAAAAGCAGAAGGGCTGACTTTCTCCATCCTGTCTTTCAAACGGTGTCCATCTCAGGGTGAACTGTCCTGGTCCAGTTGTACTCAGAATTGTATTATACGGTCCAGCGATCAGCAGCTCAGAGATGTTTCAACAAAAAGAAAAGCAAAAGATTCATTAACTTAATTTTCAAAGCCTCCTCAACTACAAACAAAGTGTTTTTCTGTGAAATAGCACTACATCTCTTCTTTTCTCCTGCGATCTGAGTAATTTGACTCTTGTGTTGTCCTCGGGATTCCCATATACTTGTTTGCCATTTACCTAGGGGTCATTTTTGACCCGAGGACAACACAAGGGTTAAGCACATTTATGTATGGCTAAGTTAATGAGCTAGGTTTTACTAGTGTACTTTTGCTATTCATTTATATAAAAAAAAAATAGCAGCATGGTGAGCTGGTTGTTAGCACTGAAGGTCCTGACTTTGACTCCACCATCTGGCATTCTGCTCCCGTGTGTGAGTTCTCTCTGGTTAGTGCGGCTTCCTCCCACAGTACAAAGACAAAAAGTCAGTGGGGTTAGGTTAACTGGTGAATCTAAGTTGCCCATAGGTGTGAGTAAATGCTAAAGGTTGTCAGTCTCTCTGTGTTAGCCCTGCATCAGGCAGGTGTACCCTGTCTCTCGCCGTATTGTGGCTAATGAGAAGCAGAGGATGATAGATGCATTAAAGTACTATTAAACGTAAAAAGCATTTGATTTCTCATTAGGTTAAATGTGTGTCTCTTGATATATGTTGCTGTATTTTTATATCTCATACAGCCTTGTATATATCTGACCGTGTTACGCTCGTATGTGTCTTGTTAAACCTATATTGTGTGCCAGTGCAGGACTGATGCACAGATTAAACACAAAGCAACTGATAGAATCTTGACTTGATAAGTTGACAGAAACATGACAGGAACCCACTGATGTGTGAATGTATTTCTTGTCTAACCTGAAACAGTAGTACATAGTAGTTAACCTTACTGTAACATGTAACTTGTTTGTTTTTCTTTGACTTACGTGGAGCTTTGTGCATATATATATGTATATATATAAATATATTAGGGGTGCAACGATATTCGTATCGATATTGAACCGTTCGATACAGTGCTTTCGGTTCGGTA